GCACACAGCACAGGGACACCCCCTCCTGTTTCAATCAGCTTTAACCACTGCCCACCACCCTGCTGGCCCAGTTCTGAATTGCCTGGAGGAGTGGGCCTGCCCCGGGTCCAGCACCAGGGGTCCAGCTAGAGGAGGTGGTGGAGCTGCCCTGCAGCCAGTGCCATAACCCTGATGATGGAGGGGATGGGAGGGGAGGCTCCAAGCAAGCAGACCCCCCCCCTCCCTGGGCCTCCTGCGCACCGCACACGGGAAGTAGCCACAGACCCGAGCACCAGGGCTGGTGGGCACGCCCTGCATGGCTCTTCCCAGCTGCCAGTGCCCGTGGACTCCTGGCTCTGAAAAAACCTCCCAGCCTAGAGCTCAGCATCCCGCAGCCACGTCCCTGCCAGAGCTCCCTGCCACCCCACAACGCTACCTGTCCCGGTGTGCCTGCCCACGGCTCTATCACCCCTGCCCTGGAGCGGTGGCCCCACGCTGGGCAAGTGCTGCTAGTTACAGTGTGCAGGGCCTTTGCTGTGGATGCCGGAGCTGCCTCTCCCAGTGAGGGCTGGACCCCGCCCTTCCCGTACCCTCTGCCCAGGCTGGGGTTGCTCTTTCAGTCCCTCTTCTTCCCTTCAGGCCTTAGGGTGCTGCCCTCTGCAGAAAGCTCACCTTTATTTTAAGCCCTAGGGGAGGGTTGGCCTCTTTCACGAGCTCCAACCCAGGACTGGGGCAAGTTATGCCTGACCACCCTGATTGCCTTCTACGGGGAGATAATTGGCTCTGTGGATATGGGGAAACAAAGCTACCTTGCTCTTTTCATCAGTAGCCCTCTAAGGATGCCAGCATAATCAACACCATTTTACAGATGGGGAAACTGAGGCACAGAGTGTCGAAATCATTTGCCTGATGTCAGAGCTGGGAATAGAACCCAGGAGACCTGAAGCCTAGTGACATGCTCTGACCACTAGGAAACACTGCCTCCTACCAAGCGAGGGCTCTTCTGCGTTAAGAGAATCCTAGATTCTAAGACCAGAAGGGACCACTGTAATCATCTCCACCAACCTCCTGCACCTCACAGGCCTTCGCGACATTAATTCCTGTTTGAACTAGAGCAGAACGTTTAGAAAAAAACATCCCAGCTTGATTTAAAATCGCCAGTGATAGAGAATCCCCCACAACCCTTTGGGAAATTGTTCCAATGGTTAATCACCCACATTTCAAAATGTACGCCTCAGATCCTGTCTGAATTTGTCTAGCTTCAACTTCCAACCCTTGGATCATGTTAGACCTTCCTCCGTGAGGTTAAAGAGCCCGTTGTCAAATATTTGTTCTCCGCTGTAGGTGCTTAGACTGCAATCAAGTCACCTCCTCACCTTCTCTTGGTTAAGCCGAGTAGCTTGCGCTCCTGGAGTCTATCGCTGCCAGGCAGGTTTTCTAATCCTTTACTCGTTCTCGCAGCTTCTCTGAACTCTCTCCAATTTATCCACATCTTTCTTGAAGTTTGGACACCCAAACTGACACACTATTCCAGCAACGGCCTCACCCGTGCCAAATGCAGGGGTAAAATCACCTTGTTTATGCAGCCAAGGATTGCATTCGCCCTTTTGGCCATGGTGTTGCACTGGGAGCTCATGTTCTGCTTCTAATCCATTATGACCCTCCAAGTCTTTTTCAGCGCCCCTGTTACCCAGGATAGAGCCCCCCATCCTGTAGGTATGGCCTGCATTCTTTAGTCCTAGATGTGTACATTTAGCTGTATTAAAACACATACTGTTTGCTTGCACCCAAAGTACCAAGTGCTTCATAAAATATCAGGGTTGGAAGGGAACTCAGGAGGTCATCTAATCCAACCCCCTGCTCAAAGCAGGACCAATCCCCAGACAGATTTTTACCCCAGTTCCCTAAATGGCCCCCTCAAAGATTGAATTTATAACCCCGGGTTTAGCAGGCCAATGCTCAAACCACTGAGCTATCCCCAGCCATCTGTCCTCTTTGTTATTTACCACTCGCTCTCCCAGTTTTTATGTTAGCTGTTTTTCAGTGAAGATTTTATGTTTACTGCCAGGTCATTAATAAGAATATTAAATAGTGTAGCGCCAAGACCTGATCCTGCAGGATCCCACTAGAAATACAGCCGCTCAGAGATGATTCCCCATTTACAATTACACGTGGAGACCTATCAGTTAGCCAGTTTTTAATCCATTTAATGTGCGCCAGGTTAATTTGATACCAGTCAAGTTTTTTTTAATCAAAATGTCACGTGGTACCAGGTCAAAGGCCTTGCAGAAGTTATTACAGTCAGCACTATTACCTTTATCAACCAATCATGCAATGTAATAAGAAATATAGTTAGTTTGACAGGATCTATTTTCCATAAACTCGCATTGATTGGCATTAATTATAATACCTCTCTTTATTAATTGTGTCCCATATCAGCTGTTCCATTATATTGCCCAGGATTGACAGGCCTGGGTCATCCCTTTTTTAAAATATTTGCACAGCATTGATTTTCTTCCAGAACTTCCTCATTGCTACAAGAGTCATTGAAAACCAACATTAACAATGCAGTGAACTCTTTGGGCAGCTCCTTTTAGAGTCTTGGATGTGAGTGATCTGGACCTGCTGATTTTAAAATGTCTAACTTTTGTGACAGCCGTTTAACATTCTCCACAGCTACTAGTGGAATGGAAAGAGTGTCATCTTCATATGATGTAACTACACCATCTGTTTCCCCCCAAATACAGAAAAGAAATATTCATTTAATACTTCTTCCGTTTCTGCATTATTATTGATAATGCTACCATTTCCATTTAGTAATTTCCATCCACCAATACCATTGTGAGCATTCATTTTGTTCCTAATATACTTAAAAAACCTCCTTCTTACTGTCCTTATCTCTGCTGGCCATAAATTTGCCTTGTATCCTTTTGCTTCCCATATCAATTTTCTACAATTGCTATCTTCTGATTTATATTCATTACTCTCAACTTCCCCTTTCTTCCATTTATTATATACTGGGTTAGTTTTTTGTTTTCATTTTTTATAGCTGCTTTCACTTTCCCTCCTAAGCCTGTCAGTTTTTTAACCGATGTGGACTTATTTTTCAATTATGTAATTGTGGCTTTTGGGGCATCTAGTAAAATGTTCTTAAACAATTCCCAAATTATCATTAATATTTTTATGTTTACATTTTCCTTCTAGCGAATTTGGCTCAAAATTGTTTTCAGCTTTGTGAAGCTGGGTCTTTTAAAGCACCAAGTGTATATTAGTGATTTGGACTTTATTCTGTTTGCACATCACAAATGTGATCAAGTTATGATCACCTGCACCTGAGCACCATTAATTTTCCATTCTGTGATAAATTTCTCTTTATCTGCCAAGACGAGGGCTAATAGAGAATTCCTCCATGTTGGACGCAGCACGTTTTGAGTTAGGAAATTGTCATCTATCATATTAAGAAATTCCAAGGATGTTTTAGCAAGAGACCTCCAGCGTGTGCCACTCAGGCTGAAGTCTGCCATGATCACACAGCTTTTTCTCTGACACATTATAGCTAGGGGCTTAAGGAGCCAGACGAACTATTCCGTAGTGTGACTTGGCGGTTTGTAGCACACACCAAGTCGTACTTCGTCTTGTGCATGACCTGTGAGGACGTTGAGCCGTAAACATTCCAGATCACTTTCTTCTGACTTATCAGTGACTCGAAAGCAGGTGATATATTTACACACTGTTATTGGTTCTCCTCTTTAGCCCACTGCATCCTTCCCAAACCATTCGGCCCCTATACTGCTGCCTATCTATCTATGGTGCTTATCTGTCCCCCATCACTGTAGGAGCTGAGCTCCTCACAATCTGCAATGTATTGAGCCTTACAGCACTGCTCCGTGGTAGGGCAGAGCTATTCCCCACCCAGTTTACAGCGGGGGAACTGAGGCACAGAGAGGCGAGGTGACTTGGCCAAGTCACACTGGGTGTCTGTAGCGGAGCTGGGACATGAACACTGGTCTCTTGCAGCCTAGGTTGAGCCCTAATCAGTGCATGATCCTTCCGCTTCTCTGCGAGCCTGTGGATTCAGGCTCACGGACAAGTCATTGCAATACCAGTGTGATGAGCCAGTGGTTGGGGCATTCACGTGGAAGATTTGGGTTCTCTGCCACAGACTGCCTGGGTGACCTGGGGCAAGTCACTCTAGCCTCTTTGTGCCTCTCCGAGGTACTCAGCTGCAATGGTGATGGGCCTTGGAAGTACCTAAAATAGATAGGTACCTACGTTCCCTCTAAGCACCATGCAGGTGCTCAAGGTTGCAGCGAAGAGAGATGCCTCTTCCCCAGCCCCAGACCTGTCACAGCCGGGAGAGGCGCCTCTCCCCTGGCCCCAAACCAGCCCTGGCCCAGAGCTGCAGCGGCCAGGGGAAAGGTGCCTCTCTCCCCCAGCCCAGGTGTGGGGAGAGAGAGCTGGGGGGAGTCCTTGCTCCCTGCTGTAGCCCCGGGGCAGCCTGCACCCAAAACCCCTCATCCCCAGCCCCGCCAGAGCCCTCACACCCTCGCACTCCAACCCTCTGCCCCAGCCCTGATCCCCTCAGCCTCACCCCAGAGCCCACACCCTCAGCTGGAGGCCTCACCCCCCTGCACCCCAATCTTCTTCCCCAGTCCTGAACCCCCTCCCACACTCTGAACCTCCTTGGCCCCACCCCGGCCACATGAATTTTATTAGGTGACACATCACGTCCATATTGGTGCACATAACAAAATGCATTGTGCACATATACCGGACAAATGCGAGGGAACACTGCTAGGTACCATCCTTTCTCTGGCTTGGGGGGGGGGGGGTGCTTTGCAAAGTGTTGATAAACGGACATTATTCCTTAACGTGCTGCACAATCAGTCACTTGGTTCATACACTTCCCAGCACTGCCCAGGCCCCTGCTGTCACAGCTAATAGAGACAAACCCAGCCCGGGCGTTCTGTCCCAAGTCCCGCTTGTCCGGGCTCATAAAAACAGCCAAGCTCAGATCTCTGTGAAACTCACGTTTGTTTCTCTTTATTGGTGTAAAGCTGTAGCACACGGTATCATTTTGACAAGGTACACGGTTCCCTTCGAACGCATGGGCACTAACAAACAAGACTGACTGGCGGCCGCGTCATTCACGTACAAAACAAGAGCTGGCCGGACAGAGGTGGGCGTAGGGATCGCAGAAACAGGGGACTGTGAAACAGACAACACAGGCCTTTCCAGAGAGAACAGCTCCGGCTGCTGGGTGTTCTGGGAGGCACCTTCTCGGCTGGTGGGGATTGTTAGCGAAAACTTTAGGCTGCACCCCCATAATCCATATGCACCGGAAATGCAGTGAGGCCAGAATTTACGCTGCTCCCCGATCTAAGTGCAGTGGGGGTGGGGGAGAGGGATGGAATTTCGCACTTTCTAGGAAATGGTAAAACTCTTTGGAGTTGAGTAGAACTAGTTAAATACCCACTAATTACCCCCAATGCCGGTGCGGTCCAAGGGGCGGCCCTGACTGAGACCCAGGGAAGCCGGTAGGGTCAGATCCCCAACTGGTGTAAATTGCCATAAACCCAGAGAAGCCAACTGGGGTGTGCTGATCCCCACCAGTTGAGGAGCTGGCCCGTCATACTGCTGTTCGCGGACATACGTCTCATTTGTTCTACTCACGGCATTTGGCTGCCAAAAAAGGACCCTGCTGGGGCTTTGAGGGGAGCTGGAGGTCCAGCCAAGTGCATTATTTACTGCCGGCATCTCAAGTCTATTGCAAAGCAGTGTTGGGAGGAGCCGCCGTGGCTGTCTGGAGGTTTGGGCTGTGTTCTGGAAGGTTACAGCCTGACTTAGCTGGGGATTGGTCCTGCTTTGAGCAGGGGGCTGGACTAGATACCTCCTGAGGTCCCTTCCAACTCTGATCTTCTATGATTCTATGATACATGAGGGGGACACGGGAGACCACAGTAGGGGGTCAGCTTCCAGCTCCTCTGCAAAGAGAATCATAGCCAGGCAAGGGCTTCTGGGAGTCTGAATCCGAGAGACGCTTCAGAGCAGCTGACTAGCAGCGGGGTGTTGGGAGGGTGACATGGAGACTCCAAGCGGCTCTCGTGCAGTGGCACTGACAGACTAGACTCTGTGCTAGGGCAGGGCCGGGCAATCTCATAGCGGGGCTGGGGCTTGTTGGGAGGGAAGCCACGGGGCTTGTGTGGGAACGTGTGTGTGGCTTCGCAGGTTGGGAACAACACCAACAGCCCCAGGAGAGCTCTGGTCCCAATCCGCTCGATTGGGCTGTTGATGTCCTAGTGATGTCGCCTGATGCGCCAGGGTGGGGGAGCAGCTGCTGGGGCCGAACGAAGGGGGTGCTCTGCTCCCTGCTTTGGGGAAGAACAAAGCCCACCCTGGAGATGACACTGGAAGGGGACAGGGTGGAGGGTGCTGGCTAATCCCCAATGTGCCCACAAACTGGAGAAGCACAAGGCCCTGCCCCCCTGTTTGATGGAGCATGAAGAGGCTGGATTGGCTGCCTGTTATCAGCCGATGGGTAGGCAGTGGAGGATGAGTCCAGCTGCCCCCTTTCGCTACCCACCAGGGAAGAGCAGCAGAGCCAAATGCAGGGGACCCTCCCACTAAAACAGCTAATTGAGGGGGCATCCCGGCTGCTCTGTCCACCCTGAGGCCGGAGCGGTGGTGAGCGAGTCAGGAGGCAAAGCAGGAATGACACAATCTGGCCGTTTCCACAAGACCAGCTTTAATATCAGTCAGGAGAACGAGGAAAACGCACAACGGAAAGGAATGAAAAATAACCCCCACGCCCGCTCCTGCCCGCACCCCCCCAAACCAGACTGTACAAGCTGCGTTACAGACCCAGGAGCACGACACAGTAGCCACGGGTGTGGTCATCCAAGAGCCATCCAGGTCAGGGAGTCAGACTGCGGTCCCTGGGCCGCTCCCCTTTAGGTGACGGTACCTCCGCCAGGCCCGGCTGCAGCACGGCTTAGCCTTTGGGGGACCTGGCCTAGCAAACTGACACGAAGAACAAGGAGGTAAGGAGAGTCCAAGAGCTGCACGTTTGTTTGTTTCTTTATTCTAATACAGCCTAATTAACGGCGATTTCGGGGACGGATGGGCCCGCAAAATTCCTTCTTGGTAGTGAAATCAGAGCCTGTACAGAGGAACAGAGCTTAGAAAGACAGCTAGGAATATATTGCCATAAAAAGTATCGGCATGCAAGTGCTTTATACAGTCGGCAGTATATGAAATGGTGGCTTTGTTAGTTTCTGTGTTGGTCTGTACAGTTCAAAAACGAGTGTGTCTTCAGATCCCGAAGACGAGCCCCCCCACAGGAAAGGACGACGCAAGTCAAGTCCAAGGCGCCGCTCGCTTGGTTTTGGCAGAGATGTATAATATATATACAGTTATATATAGATATATATTATTTTTTTTTAATGCATAGCGATTTTCTTCCTTTTCCCCCGGTGCAAACCTGAGCTTGGTCCCTGCTTTCCTGTGCAGTCTCCTTTCGGTCGGTCTTGGCACTCCGGCGCTGGCGGGGAGGTGTCAGCAGGCAATTTCCTCCAGCGTTCCCAGGGTCGTCTGCAGGGGCACGTTCACAGCGTGGCTGATGGTTTCGGAATGATTTGGCATGGGGTCGCAAGTGCTCTGAGGGAGGAGAGCGACAGGGTTACCACAGGGGTTCTCAGCCCTCGCGCTGCCAGGGGTTGGCTTTTGAATTCGGGCTGCCCCACCTCCCGGGCAGCAGCATGGCAGGTGTGTTTTGCCTGGGCGTACCTGGAATGGTCACCTACCCAGCCCCGTTGGGCGGCAGTGGGATGCTAGCTTGGCTAAGTGGTGGCCAAGGGTAACAATACACTTCTGTCTTTTGACAGCCCTCTGCTTGGGCTCCCAGCTGATAGGGGGCTGCAAAGCGCCGTGCTTATCCTGAGAGCGGGCATGCCAGCGGTGTGACGGGGCTGCCACCTACGCCGCTGGCAGGTGGGTCAGCACAGCCAACCCCCCAGCTCTCTCAACCTAGGTCATGCCCCACAACTGATACAGCTCAGCGAGGGCTGGACAAAGCCTGTCACCCCAGAGGTGGGATGGCGAAGCCTGCCCCATGGGTATACCATGCTGCCCCATGGGAGTGCCAGATCCTCCAGGCTGGAATTTGGGGTATGTCTACACTGCATTTAAACCTGGGGCTTGTGGACTTGGTGTTTCCAAACCCACGCTTGAGCGTCCGCATGGCATTGTGACCCTGGGTTTACAGTCACTGGACCCTGGTCTCACAGCCGTGCTAACGTGTCCACACTGCACTACGCAGCCCTGCTGGCTTGGGTCTGCGGCTTCAGCTGTATCCACGCGTGGACTCGCATTTCCGCCAGACTCGGGCTCTGACCCTCTGCACCCCCCGCAAGCAGGGCCCGTGAGCCTGAGTCCAGAGGGGTGCCCCACCCGTGTCAGACTGAGTTCTGTGTAGACAGAGGTGGGGTTTGGCTCAAACCTGAGTCTGGGCCCATGTTACAGTGCAAGGTAGCCAGACCCTTAGAGGAAGTGGGTAACAGCGGGGAGGCAGGGCGGGGCTGGGGGGCAGCCTCACATTGTGCTTTGTAGTGCAGGGTGGCAGAGCAGAACCTTCCATTTCCTCTCACTTCCCCCATCTAGTGAAATATCCCCAGTCCGGAGTGCTCCTGGCACCAATCTCTCCATTGGTCCCACCCCTTCTCTTCGCTCAGCATCAGGGACACGCAGCATCGCTTACACACACAGCTTCTGCACGGGGCTGCAAAGAACCAGCATTTGGGGCTTTCCCTTACCACCAGAGCTGGTGGCAATTTTAGGACCAAAATATTTTCCCAGTGGAAAAAATGGGGTTCAGTCATTTGGGGCAAAATGTCCGATTTGCGGATGGGAAATTTCAAAGCAAGGCGAACGTTTCCATTCTGTTTCCTTTCCAACGGAGATGTTCTGTTGTGTGAAAAACCGAAACGTTTTCCAAATGGCCAATTGGGGCTCCCCCCCCCCCGTTTTGCCATTAAATGCGGGTGAATGAATGAGGTCCAGGATGGGTCATTTTTATTTATTTTTCATTATTTTAGCAAAACTGGAAACTTTTCAGGTGGAACCTTTCCATTTTGCAGAAACCGCATTTTTCACTGAAGAAAAACATTACGTGGGAAATTCCAGATCAACGCAAATGATTTGACTGGACAGTGCCAGCGTGGGGCCCACGTTGTGGGGAGAAGGTCAGCCAGGAGTCCCCCCCAGCTCTTCCTTTGGTCCTACTGCTGGGACGGACAGGGCTGGCAAGTAATTTGAGCAAGGAGGTGAGTTCCAGAGCTTGCATGTGCCTGCTCTTGCCTTACTCAATGCTTCCCTGGATTCTCCACGGACTGGGGATGGGCTGAGTGTTAGAGAACCCTAGGGAGCTACTGGAAAGGGTCAGATTCCAAACGGGTTGGTTTGGTCCTGCTTCTCCTCCCCTTCCCCATCCAGGCTGCTGAGACTTCCCAGAAGCAGAGGACCACATGGCAACCCTTAAATCAGCAAGAGGGCTGAAAAGTGCTTTGTTGCACTCCATAGGGACACCCAGGGCCTGGATTGGAGGCTGAGCAGAGCTGTTATAAGGAGACCCACCTTTTCAGACATGAGCCTCCATTTAATCAGGGACTTCGGTCCATGTATTCAAGTGCTTAATTCCCACTGAAATCAATGGGAGTTAGGTGCCTAAATACCTTTGAGGATCTGGGCCATAGCCATCTAAAAGGCCTGCACTGTGGGCACAGAGGGGAAGGGCCTGCTAGGGGTGGGCTGGAAAGCTGTCTCCAAAATAGAGCTTCAGTTTGGTTTTGCACACGATTCCATTTTTTGTTGTAGCTGAAAAATGCCTCCGCCACCCCAAAAAAATCCCCCCCCAAAAACCCAGAACACCTCCCCCCCCAAAAAAATCACTGAAACTTTTTTTCAAAAAGTTGTCGACAGGATTGAAATTGTCCGTTTTCAGCAATATTTCCCACGATCGTTTTTATTAATATTTGTATTGACAATTGATTGCCATGTTTATAGAAATCATTTCCAAACGCCTCATAGAAAAAGCAGGTTCTGAGCACTCAGTTTTCAGCCAGACAATGTTTTTTGGGGATAATGTTTTGAGAAAAATGCCAGTTAAAATTGCATGAAAAAAAATAGACAATTTCAAACCCTGTGAAACAGAAACAAGTTTGCCATTTTGAACAAAATTGTTTTCTTGTGTTTGAAAGAGCTCTGCTCAGAAAGTCCTTTCCAGAGTCTCCCATTGGTCGGAGTGAATGCTTTGTGAAAGAATGGGCAGTTTTTCTTTAGTTTCATCTCTCTTCTCCAAACCCGACCTGTCTACCTTGCTTGAAGTTTCTACACATTCGCTCTTGACAACTCTGAAGATTTTATCGCATGTCTTGCACTATGTGGTGTTTTTCTTAAAGCCCAGGCTGGGAATCTCAGCTTTCATTCCTTTTTTTTTAAAGTGAGGTTCTAGTCCTCAGGGTTTCAAAGAGAAGATGGAAAATGGGACACACACACCCCCCCGCCGCAAATGCTCAAAAAGCAGAAAGCAATTCAAAAGACCCCCCTCCCCAATTCAAAAATAACCTCATGATTTTTAGAGCCATCTCCTGAGCAACTGAAGCTGTTGCAATTGAATGGGTGGTGGGGTTGGCCATGCTGCCTTCCCGTAGTATTGAGTCCCCCGGTGATGGTACTGATGGGGATCCTTACCACGTTTTCGTCATGGCTCCCCTCCTCCTCCTCCTTGCCAAGCAGGTCTAACAATCTTTCCTTGATCAGCTGAAAGAGAGACAGACTTGGTTACTTTAGGTAGAAACAGCCAGTCACAGCTCTCCGCCCTGAGCAGTAGCAGCACCCAGCCAGCCAGGACAACCACTCATTCTCTAAGACGCCTCTGGGATCTTCCCCGCCCCCTAAAGGGCCTGGTGGCAGCTTGACGTCTCCATGTGAACGTGGAAGGCCAGATCGATCTCCAGTGCAGCTCCTGGGACCACGGGCTTGCACCAGACCCTCCCAGCAGGATTGGCTCCAGGTGAGACCACAAGCCCTGTTTCTATGGATGGGAGCTGCAATGGGCCGTCCATCCCCCACACCCCCAATCTGGCTTGTGGCCCATTGTGTGCCCCACATCTCGGTGCTGAGTGGGCCCTGCCCCGGCCGCCCTCTTGAGCGGGGTGGCTCTATGGGGACGGGGTGCCAGGTGCTGACTGCACATCCGGCTCCAGCAGCGCTGGCATGAGTCTAAGAGGCTGCAAATGTTGCGCTAAGCAGAAGGGCTTCATGGGAGCTGCCTAATCGCTGGAGCAGTCCCCTCGCACGGCGCCCTCACAGAACGGCCGCTGCCAGGCACGGGCAGGTTGCGATAGACGGCTGCATCCAGCTGCTTGGGAATGCAAACTGACAGGCTGGGGAGTGCCACGTTTGCCCGACTGAAGCTGTTGCAATTGAATGAGGAAAGTGCTTAAGGGCCGGGCTCTCTGGCCATCGGAGGCCAGTGGAGGCTGAGGAAGGGGGATAAGCTGGATCTGCAACAATGTTCCCAACAGGCCCAGATCCTGCAGCAGCATTGTGGCTCCGTGGCTGGGGAGGGGACAGGCTAAAGCAAAAGAGGAGGGTCCCATGGAGTCACATTTTCCTCCCTGAGACCCGTCAGAGAAGCCAGCAGAAGGGGGGCAGCAGGCAATGCAGAGAAAAAGGTTTTCTGCACAGAGGACCCAGGAGATCTGCAGTATTTTGTTGGGGGGGGGCGGCGAAGTCCCTTCCCTCGACAGAAAAAATTGGGGAAGAGGAGGACGTTTTCTGATGGAAGACAGCTATATTGTCGAAGCAGAAATGCCAGTGGAAAATGGCTGTTCCTAGTGACTTTTTCGGGTTATTGAAAAATCTCGGTTGGCCGGGTGAAAAATTTTTCAGTAAACCCTTCCCATTTTTGCCCGTCCAGATGACATTTTTCAGTTGCTGAAAACCACAGAACGTTGGGCTTTCCAGGCGAACCCGAAACGTGTTGTCGAAAAATTCTGACACCATGTTTTCATCCAAACTCTTCCCTGAAAAAACATCCCAAACGTTTCCTGAGCTCTAGCAAGAAGGCCTATTTCCAGAGAGGCCATGAACGCCGGGAGGATGCTGGTGGATGGGCAAAGATACTTTGGCAGGAGCGTGGGAACTGCCACTCGGGATCAGACCAGCAGTCGGTCTAATTCTCTGACTGCCAGTAGCAGGTGCTTCAAAGGCAAGTGCAAGAATCTCCCTAAGTGGACTATTATGGAATAACCTATCTGCATAAGAACAGGAGAACGGCCGCACTGGGTCAGACCATGGGCCATCTATCCCAGCATCCTGTCATCTGACAGCAGCTGGTGCCTGAAGCTTTAGAGGGAATGAACAGAACAGGCAACTTATTGAATGAGCCACCCTATCATTCAGTCCCAGATTCTGGCAATCAGAGGTTTAGAAACACCCAGAGCATGGGGTTGCCTCCCTGATCATCTTGGCTAATGGCCATTGATGGACCTATCCTCCATGAACTTATCTAGGTTTTTTTTTTAACCCAATTATACTTTTGGCCTTCACAACATCCCCTGGCAATGAGTTCCACAGGTTGACTGTGTGTTGTAAGAAGAAGTACGTCCTTTGGTTTGTTTTAAACCTGCTGCCTGTTAATTTCATTGGTGACCCCCTGGTTCTAGTGTTATGTGAAGGATCCTAACCCCAGAATATCTCTAGGGTCCTAACCCCAGAATATAGGGACTTCTCTACAAGGGGAAATTGTCCGTTAATAACTATTCCAGAGCAGCGTTTATTCTGGGATAGAGTGTTCATACAAGGGAGGTATTCCAGGATAGCTAAATTATACCAGAATAGCTATTCCAGAATGGTGATTCTGGACGAGTTCTGCAGGTCAGTTTCCCCTGTGTAAACAAGACCTTTGTCAATGAAGGTTGCTCATCTACACTTCTTCCAGATGACCTCAGCGTATAACACGCTTGGGATGTGCAGTGCGACTGTGCAGAAACCTCACGGAATAAAGTGTCATTTCTATTCATAACACCAAGAAATCAATGTTTGCCAAAAGAAAAAAACTTGGCAAGAGAAAAATATTCTCCAGCTTCTATGAATGGACCCCCCCCCCACCCACACACACACCAGAAACTTTATTTGAGAGAATTCTTATTACCTTCCGATCAAAGAATCCAAAAGAGACACTGGCTTGTTGGATTTTAATCAAATTCTGTGTGTGCACAGATTGAGATATAAACCAGGGAGCAGAGTCTGTTTGAACTCCAAAGCCCGTATGAGTTTTATGCTCGTATTTTTCATTATATTTTATTGCAAAATAATGCCACCCAATATGAATGGCTGCTCAGAAGGGACTCTGTCAGTAGAACTGCCTACCTTACACTGCAAATGCATCACTACCTCTTTAATAACACGTAAGGCTTGTCTACTCTTGAGATGTTACAGTGGCACAGCCGTAGCCCGGCAGCTGTCGTGCTTCAGAGTGGACACCACCTGTGCTGACCGGGGGGTTCTCCCACTGGTGTACATAAGCCACTTCCCCAAGAGGCAGGACCTAGGTTGATGGAAGAATTCGTTCACCAAGCTAGCGCTGTCTATACCGGGGGCTTAGGTTGGCTTAACTAATCTCGCAGCAGTGTGGATTTTTCATGTACCTGGGCCAACCAAACTTTTTAGCATAGACCAGGCCTTAAAGTGGGATTGTTTAAAAAGTCCCTAAGCAAGTCAGGGGCCAAAGGCTGACTGAAAATCAATAAGCCATATATGCCAAAGCCAAGGAAGGTAGTCTGACTGAGTCAGCACTGCACTAGAAGTCAGGACACCTAGGTTCTATTCCCAACTCTGCAACTGGAGTCCTGGGTGACCTTGAGCAATTCACGTTGTCGTTTTGTGCCTCAGTTTCCCCACCTATAACATAAGGACTTTGAGTGCTTTGAGATCTTCTGCTTAAAAGCACGATCTAAGTGCTAGTTCTTATGATTTAGGTGCTTTTGAAAATGTCATTTGACTGTCCCAAACTACATGAGACTAAAATATCCCGGATGTTTGAAAAAGGCATATGTTCAGAAACTATTTCACTAAAATATTTGCATATGTTAAAAACTAGTTTACTAAAATGGTCAAAAAATTCAACTATTTTATTCAAGTATTCTCCGCCTGTCACTAAAATATCGGAACAGCTTTTTGTTTAATCAGTGAAACAACATATGTCCTGGCATTTAACTGGCATAACTTCGCGCATGCCCATGGAAGAGAGTCATTGTTTGCAATCGGAAACCTGCATTTCCGTTTTTTGCTCCTCTCTTACGCATGCTTCTGCTGCGCTCGGCGGCCAATGGGGAGCCTTCTTGTAACTAAGTTCTCACCTGTAAATTGCTATCGAGGACAAACCACAGCTATAGTGCCTGAGGGATAAATGATTATTTGTGGAGTTGTAGCACCCAGCGTCCCCCGTCGGGGTCACGGCCACATTGTGCACAGCGCTGGGCGTATACAAAGTAAGCGCAGTCCCTGGCTTGAACTGATTAGAATCGAAAAGCCCAATTCTGCCACCTTTACTCCAGCGGACTTGTACCACTAATGCTGCTTAAATGAATTTGCCTCCTCACAACATCAGTGCTGCACGCCACCAGAGATCGCCATGCTCGGGTGCCACCACCATGTGACTTTTAAGTAGCCTTCTCCACTCTGTGAATAGCCGTCCTGGAAATCAAGGGCCGCTTTAGTAGCCGCTTGCATTGAAATCGTTCCCGCTTAACCATCAGTGGTGCGTTACAGCCCGCTGGCTTGTTTCAGAGTCAGGTGCTGCTCCAAGGACGGGCAGCAGGATTCAGCAAGCTGAGTAGGGAAAGGAGGGTGTATGTTGCAGGGACAGGAGCACATGGCGACATGCCCAGAGGGTGAGCTGGTTAAATGCACAAGTTAAACTAGGTCCAGGAGCAGAGGGGAAGAGCAGCCCTATGGTTAAGGCTGTGGGGTAGGACGCCAGGCACCTGGGACTACTTCCCTGCTCTGCCACAGATCTCTGGTGTGACCTTGGGCAAGTCACTTAGCCTCTCTGGGCCTCTGGGCCCAGCATCCAATACAGGGTAGGGCTGAGCTCAGAAAGTGACACCAAGTGCCTTTAAAACTCACAGCTTCCCCAGGCCGGGGGCGGATTGAGACTCACTCTGCTCTCGGCTGCAGACCTGGCAGATCTGCGTAAGGGGCCTTCCAGGGCCAGGGGAAGGCTCAGGTCCAGGCATTCTGACACCCCCCGGACACCCTGTGCCCCTTCCCTTGCTGGGTCTGTGCCCGGTCTCCTGGCAGCCTGGCTCTGAGTCTGCAATGCAAGTGCTTGGGCCCTGACTCTGACACCCGCCCCTCGTGCAATGAGACCCGACAGCAGCGTGCCAGGAGCACATGGTGTGTAAACCCCTCCCCCTCCCCCGGCGGACTCTCCTGAACGTTTCCCGTTGCAGCGCCTCTCCTGTGGGCTTCGCTCAGGCCTAACACGGAGACACAAGCTCCTTAATGAATGTCTCTGACTAGATAACTCAGAATAGCCTCCCCCAGGCTGACCAAGAAGGCGCACAGCATGCTGGGACCTGCAATCAGCAGGCTGGCTCTGCAGTAAAGATGAAGGCAGCCAGGAGCAGCACAACAAACCTCTGTGGGCCACGTACGTTTGGAGCACACGCCGGCCCCTCGTGACTCTCTGCTGTTCCACTGCAAGCAGGGCTGACAGCGCTCCTCCGTCCCTGACGCTGCTTAGAGCTGGT